GGAACCAATAGAGCTACAGCGCCGCGGAAAAGCGCATTCGATAGCCCTATTAAAGCCCTTTCTGAGTAATTCTCTCAGATTTGACCTAACGTCAACGGTTTTGCCTGCAGGGGGCAAAAACTGCAAAAATAGCCGATTTTTTCGAAAACAGTTTTTCTGCAATAACTTTTGACCCAAGCCTTGTACAAGCTTACTTTTACCGGCATCGTGTTCCTCTCGTCAAGACGCATCGAATGAACTATGACTTGACATTGAAAGGTCAACTTGAAAATTTGACCTCAGGTCAAGGTCATGACCTGACCGGAAAGGGTCATGTTGCATATCAGTCGATCCGTATCGTCGAACTGAACACACCTAAGGCGTTTTCATCGCTCTAGCATGCCTCTATCAAAAGTTATTTGCGAAAAACTGTTAGTTGCCATTCGTGACCTAAGATGACCTCAGGGCATAAACAAGGGTCACGGACACCATTTTCAAGTTCAGTGTGTCTAAACCACTTGTAATTCGGTGTTTGGGAGTGTTTATAATGTCTTTCATCCAAAAGAGGCGCATTTCAATTTTCTCCCATTGACTTATAATGGGGAGGTCGCAAAATTGACCTGACCTTAGGTCATCGATATCAAAATTCTGAGATATGCATTTTGTACATGCTATTGCTCTTAGCAATCGCTGAAAGTTTCAAAGCGATCGGTCACTTGGTGTAGCTATGACAGACATTGAAAGTTTTTTATGAGGTGAGGTCACTTCAAGTGACCTGGTGACATGACCTTGGTCTGAAATTTTCACAACATGTGTAGAATTGATGTATGATAAGGTGTACCAAAAACGGCGGCGCTCCGCGCCGCCGTTTTTGAGATATTCGCGAAAAACCACAAGGGGGGTGTTCAAACACCCCCCCCCCCCAGCAGGGCGCGGGTTAATAATAGTTATTTATTACACTATGGTAGTGCTACAAGAATAGAATACCTGAGTCTGTATACTTCCCACAGAACTTAACACTTGCCCTGGCAGGGGGGGGGGTCGATGCGACCCCCCCCCCCCCCTGCCCCCTAAGGTTTTTCGAAGATAGCGTAAAAACGGCGGCGAAATTTGGCACAGCCTATGGGGCAACCTTTTTACATATGACCTGAAAATTTCAGGTCCAAGTGACCTTGGGTCAGGTCATTAGGTCAGAAAAACCGGTACAAGGTCATGGTCAAATTTCAATTTTCTTTTTGCACTTGTCCAACTCACAGTTTTGGACTGATTTCCTTCAAACTTTCAGGATGTGCTAAGTTCACCGAGTTGTATAACACATAGTTCGTTTTTTTTTGAGGTCACTGACCTGAGGTCAGTTACAGGTCATTACGTCATAATGTTAAGACTATGGGAAAAACTAAATTCGGAAAATACTGGAGATATCCGCTTCGTTTTATCACTTTTGTGCTTTGAAACCACAGTACTTAACAGCAGGTCACTTGGTGCTTCTTTGTTTGGCGTACTATCCATGGGTCAGGTCAAATGAGGTCAACTGAGGTCAAATGACCTTTTTGCCAATAACTTGGCACATAATGACGCTAGAGATTAAAAAATGGTGTCATTGTGTTCCTGGTGATCAGCCGAATCGAATGATATGCGATATGATGCAATTTGGTTAACTTGAACTTAATTAATTAATTAAAGTTTACTTGAAAATTAAGAAAAACTTTACACTAAAGCAAGCTGAAAAGTATATCATTCGACGCGCCTTGACGTGCTGAGTTCACTGGTGTTTTTTTCTGAATCTTAATTAGATCAAAAGTTATAAGCGAAAAAACTTTTGACCTGTTCTTAGCAAAATTTTTACATTTATACCCCCCAAAACCCTCATACATATTGACCTAGAGCAACAAAATTTGCACAGGGGCGAGAACTCCAGGGGGCCCACCTACCTACCAAATTTGGTGTTTCTAGGTGCCATAGGAGCCAATCGCGAGGGGGGGTCGCATCGACTTCCCACCCCCCTGCCTGTGTTATGAAAAATGCGCTGCCAGGGCGAGGGTTAAGACTCGTGTTATCTTGGATAATTATGTTTGTAATTAATTTATATTATTTTAATTTGTTTCTTCTTTCATGGCTTGAGTTGTGAGAATTGCTGCCATGCGTTTGCCTTTTCCATTCAGGGGGACAGCAAGAGAGCGCAAATCGTTGCACCGCATATTCAATCAGCTAGCCAACATTTTGTGATTCACGGCATGGAGCGTTGTGCAAATGCTATCTCTTCTAGTTGCACTGGCGGATCCAGGGGGGGGGGGGCCACGGGGGCCATGGCCCCCCCCCCCAAGGCCTAAAGTGGCCTGTTTGGCCCCCCCCCCAAAACGCCAGAAAAATTGCTAAGAAAATATACCTTGATGGAGGTTTTTAGCCACTTGGTGAAGTAAAGCTTTCCACAGCATAATATGGAAGCAATATAGTAGCAGTGAGGGTCAGTCAAAAGTTGCGCGAGCGGAGTCGACCTTAAAAAAAAAGACTGTTGTTGGCACGTGTTTATGGCGCGGCAGCTGGTAGTTGGCGGTGTTTCGCGTGGTGTGGCATCACTGGCGGATCTGGGGGGGGGGGGGGGCACGGGAGCCTGAGGTGCCTCTGACAGGCTCGTGGTGCCCTTGCTAGGCCTGTGGTGCCCCTGGACCCTGGCAGGCCTGTGGTACAGTCCACAGCAGAAGTAATGTGGGGTTTCAGTCATGGGTATGTTCTGCTTCTGAAGCTTAGGAACGATTAGCCAGACTACAATGAAACTTTGAATGTAGCTTATATGTATCGTCACCCTTGCAGCTGCAACTTTAGCTATTGACATCTTCTTTTCAATCACTTCGCATTAAACAATCGCCAGTCAAAGCCAACCGTTGAGTTTGGTAAAACCCTACATTACTTTAGCGGTGGGCTGTACCTCTGGCGGGCCTAGGGTGCCCCTGCTAGGCTGCTGATGCCCCTGGGACCTGACAGGACTGTGGTGCCCCTGACAAGCCTAAAGTGCCCCCAACAGGCCCGTGATGCCCCCGACAGGCCCAAGGTGCCCCTGCGTGATGCCGTGATGCCTGCGAGGCCGGTGGTGCCCCCTGCGAGGCCGGTGGGGCCCCTGACAGGCCCATGGTGCCCCTGCTAGACCGGTGGTGCCCCTGGCAGGCCTGTGGTGCCCCTGCTAGGCCGCTGGTGCCCCTGGGCCCTGACAGGCCCAAGGTGCCCCTGCAAGGCCGGTGGTGCCCCTGTAAGGCCTGTGGTACCCCTGCTAGGCCTCTGGTGTCCCTGACAGGCCCATGGTGCCCCTGCGAGGCCGGCGGCGCCCCTGGCAGGTCTCTGGTGTCCCTGACAGACCTGGGGTGCCCCTGACAAGCCTGTGGGGCCCCTCACAGGCCCGTGGTGCCCTTGCTAGGCCTGTGGTGCCCCTGGCGGGCTGGCGGTGCCCCTACTAGGCCGGTGGTGCCCCTGACAGGCCTGTGGTGCCCCCGGGCACCAAGGGGGTCATGACCCATGTGGCCCCCCTTTGATCTGCCACTGATGCATAATATATTGATTTGTAAAGGCGTTATGGCTTATGCAATATGCAATTGCAGGCACTTGGTATCCCTCACTTATCCCTCATTGAGGCTCTGGCGGGCTCCTGAGGGCCCACGTCTATCTCCGGGAGCCCATATAGACAGGCTCCTTTGGGTCCTTTCAGTACACTATAGCATAAGAGGTCTCCATGCGAGTCCTATACATACATCTGAGGGCGTACCCTGATGTCTGAGGTACCCAACTGCAGCTCCAATGGTCTCCTCTTACACTGGCGGATCCAGGGAGGGAGCATTTAGGGCCATGCCCCCTTCCCAGAGGCCTAAAGTGGCCCGTTTTCCCCCTCCCCCAAACGATAATGAAACATAGTTCAATCAGGGCGTGGCCCAGGAGCCGAGTTAGACAGGGCTGTTTTACCACCTCCCGGCCCGCAAAGGGACCCAAGCACTGACTCGAAGCGGGTTAAAGAGACCCTCCCACCTTCAAAAAAGTTAATGAATTGGCATGAACGTGATGTCGCTAGGTTCAGAAAGGGCGAAAACGAATATCTACCAAATTTTATCGAAAAATATTCACCGGTTTTCAAGAGATTATACTTTTATTTTTGTTTACTTTTTGGGATATCCGCTGCTGTTCCTAGCGACTTTATTTGAAAGTGCGGCATTTGTTGCGCGCAAAGCAGCCTATACCACCGCATGCTACCAAACGTTTTAGCAAAATATTAAAAAATCATTAGATCTCCGCTGACGTCACACATTCAGAGGGGTATCCAAAAGCATTAGCCCCTCTGAATCAAAATGCTGCAATTTTGAAATTCAATATTTCCGATTTAAGGCATTTCTCGATGTTGTGAGTGCGTGCCGAAACCGGTAATTGTGAGCCAGGGACCCCATTTTGGCTATCTCAGCTCAAATCTAATGTTAAGGTGGGAGGGTCCCTTTAACTGGTCGATAAAAACAATGGTAAGTGTTTACAAAGTAATATAAAGGCATGGGTCGGGTGAGCTACCATTTATATATTTTTCTTTTTAGTTAAAAAAAAAATGCATAGTGTCAGGGCTGTGACGAAAAATAAGTGGCCTAAATCCGATGAGAAAACAGGATTTGGGGGTACCCTAGGTTTGGCTCCTGCATGAGTTGGCCCCCCCCCCCCAAAAAACGCAAGCCTGGATCCGCCAGTGTCTAGTTGGTAGTGCGCACTTGGTTCTTGCTGCTTAGTGCTTAGTAAAGGCTGAAACAGACTCTTTCCGCGTTCAGGAAATCGCATGCGAGAGCCTATTCAAATACATTATAATTATTCCCGCATCAATTGCATCCGGGAGGTGCGTGCGATTGATGCGAGCGTGCTTCCATGTATTTGAATAGGCTCTCGCATGCGATTTCCTGACTGCGGAAAGAGTCTGTTTCAGGCATAAGGGATTGTGATTGGAAACAATTGAGAAAAAGACGAGCAAAGGAGTGTGTTTTACCACACGGCTGTATTTTTGGCAGTACAAATACCAGCTGAGCGTGGACGGCACGGTGGCGGCCTACCGGTTCCCGTTTCTTCTGGCTGGAGGATCTCTGGTGGTCAAACAAAAGTCCGACTACTACGAGCACTTTTACAACGAGCTGAAGCCAGGAATACACTACCTGGAGGTGGCGCACGACCTCAGTGACCTCGTGGAAAAGTGAGTATCTACTACCTACCCAACGGAAAGCGGGAGGGAGAGGGGCGCCTCTTACCAAGTAGCGAACTCATTGCGTTTTGCACGTCGAATGTTTTACGCTCTCATATCCATAATTGTGTTATCCCTCGCCGGCCGAGGGGGAGGGGGCGACGGGTGCCGCCCCCCCCCCGCCATAGGGTTTTTTCACGATAGCTCCGAACATGCTGGCGATAGAGAGATGAAACTTGGCATACCTGACCTTTGATTCAAGCCGTATCTTTTGACACCAACCGCATTTTTGGGTCAGGTCAGGTCACTGACCTATGACGTCATAAGTGAACCTCTGCACGGTCTTCAGATGTCGCATCTTCGCAACGCCCTCACTGCCAGAGGAGATGTCACAGGGAAATGAAACTTGCAGGATGTAGTATCCATTATGAGTCTCACAACTTGTATATCTCGGATTTTTCCTAAAGGTCATATGAGGTCAGGTCATTTTCGTGACCTCACCATTATAAGTCAATGGGGAAAAATGAAAACTGCTATTCTGGCGCCGGGAACGATCTCCAACTATCTCATGCACACAGAATCGTGATTTGATGCACTCCTTGCAGGGTCAGATGCGTCACTTTTGCAATGTTGACCTTGCGTGACGTCATTTATGACGTCATCAATGTCATATTAGTTTTTCGTCAATAACTCCTGATCAAATTGAGCTAGCGAGTCGGGAAGGCTACCAATAAACTCAGGAAGACCTGCCGAGTTGAATGATATGCGACATGACCTCTCTCGACCAACTTCGTAACCTAGGGGTGCTGACCTGACCGTGACCCGAGGTCAACACCCTAAGTTGACCTGACCCAAACAAAAAGTATATCATTCGACGCGCCTGAGCAAGGCGAACACGATGCTGCCAAAATCGCGGCTCTGCGGCCGTTTTTTGCGAAGTTATTCACCAAAAACTGAACCGTACCTTGGGGCACTTGACCTGACCTCAGAGGTCACCGGTTGACCTAGAACCTTAAAATCGGGTACCAATCTCTGCGTCTCGTAACGGCGCACACGCTCGTTTTTTCCGCGACGCGCTAGGTCCACCAGGGGCGAAACGGCGAGGGGGGTCGTACCCGCACCCCCCCCCCCCTCGGCCGGCGCGTATGTAGAAAACCAATAGGTCCGGCGAGGGTTATTGTACTTATCAACGAAAGTAATTTTGCAATCGTTCATATAAATGCCACAATCTGCCGTAGCATAGCAAATAATTAGGTAACATAACAGCAAACATTTTCTAGCTGGATTGCTTCTGTACTTAATATTTGGTTGAGGCAGAAATCAATTATATGTGATGTACCACTTTCCCGAAAGCAATTTTTATTATAAATTCATCTCAAATGTTTGAACGGACCCATTCAGAACAGACCCGTTCATCCCGTGAACAGACTCGGTAACAGATCCGGTTACGCCAAGCGGATCTTGTTATTTTACTTTATTTACATTTTTATATTTCTTAGATTATTTTTCTATTCAGAGTAATAACAATAATTAAAACCAAGCATCCTGTTCTTTTTATCAGAGTTGGTGATGCTCTGGTGCAGTGGTCTTACAATGATACAAAATCACATTGTATATATCTACAGTACCTACCTAGTTAATAATATTTTAGCAATTAGGCGTATAGGTTTGATGAAGGGGCATGAATTGTGTTCCTGAATTGATATGTTCCAGGTCACCGGAGACAGCATGGCTCTCAGTCAGCCCCCCCCCGTGCCCACCCGCTGGAATTCCAGAGAGACAGCGAGTCTATCTGTTATTCATCCCTCCCCCCCCCCCCCGTGGGTGTATGACTTCAGCTCTCCAGAGACGGCGGGGCGCCTGTCACTCATCGCCCCTGTCGTCGAGGAATGGGAGCTCGGACAAAGGGATGGCGCTCACATCCAATAATAAACCATCTTGGCGTGCGTTTGACATCTGGCTAATGTTGGGCTTATACGTTAGCGTTTGAATATACAAAATAAACTCAAGTCATTGAGCCTTAACCCACCCGTCATTGACTGAGGGAAGGGAAGCAGCGTTTCCCCGCCTGTCCAGTATTCGTGATAACTTCAGTAACCAACGTAAATGGCGCGATCGAAGGGACACTTTCCGTACTTCCTGCACTAACTTTAATTTGTATGTATATGATTTAATGCATAGTTTCTGAAAGAAATGAATAATAAGATATGGTATATCTTTTGGCGTTGCTATATGCTACCCGCCAGTTTAGACAGGATTTTTCGATGTTTGACAGTGCTTAGAATGACGTTCGTCCAAAACAGACGCTTTTCAATTTTTTCCCCATTGACCTCTAGATATCATACCCCATTGTCACGGATATCAATTCCGAGATATATATTTTATACGTTCAGTTGCTTTTATCAATCTCTTGAAATTTTCAAAGCGATCGCTTAGCCGGTATGGCGAGCATTCTAACGTTTTCTGAGATAAGGCCGCTTGTCGTGATCTGGGGTGACCTGACCCTTAGCTTCTTGGGTCTGAAATTTCGGAAACCCTTTCTTAGTACTCAACCGAAGGTCTAAATGTTAATATGTTCAATTTTCAACTTCGATGAGACCTTGACATGTCACGTAATCTCAAATTAAAATTTGTGGTTGCTTTGGTTGCGTCTCGGTAACACCTTCCAGCGCCTTTTCGTGCATTTCACCGCTCGATCCCTATTTTCGGAGGTAATTTTGGGGGTGTTAAACGCCCCTCCCTCCCCTTCTCGGTCTTGTTCATCTGGAAGCTTAGCCCAGCATGGGTTAACCCTCGCCCATGTAGGGGGGGGGGGGGGGTTGGTGCAACCCCCCCCCCCCTGAGGTTTTTCGGAAATAGTGCAAAAACGGCGGCGCGCAGCGCCGCCAAATTTTGGGTACCTTATGGGGCAAACCTTGCGCATCTTTTGATAAAAAAAATTGACCGGGTCATGTCAGGTCACGGAGTTATGACGTCACAAAGGGAACAGCCTCCGGCCGGATTTTCACAAACTGAGTGCCAACGCCCGAGGTTTCCTGCCGGTGGTACGGACATCGGTTGATGGATCGTGATGAAACTTCCCATGCATGTTGGGGCAAGTATTGGCTATCATATGGTATAAGAAACTTGACCGGGTCAGGTCAGGTCACGGAGCTATGACGTCACAAGAGGAACAGCGTCCGGTACTATTTTTGAAAAGCGCCCGAACCACTATTTTGCTAATTCTTGTCACCTCAATGGGAATATGCAGCAATATTAGCTTCTATAGGGAGCAAATGGACCTCCCAAATCCAAAAATACAATCAGATTTCAAAAATTTAAATTTTGATTTTTCGAATTTCTGCCGCCGACTGTGACCTTGCCGACTTCCGGCGCTCCCAACGCGCCATTTTTAGAGCTAGGGAAACGAAATACATACCAAACGATAGAGAATTGATCAAGGAACACGATAGTGAAGGTTTCAAGTCGATATCTCCCACCGTTTTGCCGCAATCGCCGCGGAAAGTTGAAAAAGTCTATTTTTCCGAAAATTTGACCTTTGACCGGTCAAAAGTAGGTCAAATGTTGACCTAGGACCAAAAAATATACCACCAATCGCGAGATCTCGGCGAGAGCAATCCGTTGGTCTTTTCCGCTAAGCTCTACGACGCTCCGTTTTCAAACGCCAAGGGGGGGGGTCGCACCAACCCCCCCCCCCCCTGCATGGGCGAAGGTGGCAGATCGCCGTTTACGGGCGAGGGTTAAATTATTGTATTAACACGCGCACTGCAGCGGGTCTGAGCCGAACACGAACTGCACGGGGGTTGAAAACAACCCCCCCCTGAATTCTCGAAAACGGCGCAGCGTAGCGACAAGCGGTAAACGGCGTTAGATAGGGTAAGATGAGATCTACAAGAAATACAAAGATCATTTTTGGGTCAGGTCAAAAACGAGGTCAGCAGAGGTCACCAAACTCAAAATGTTGCGATTTTTTAGCGATCTCGACATCCCTCCATATTTTCCGCTTTATCTCGGAAACTAGATGAGCTAGAAAGTTGCGGAAAAAGCATTCGATAGCTGTTGAAACGCTCTTTCGCTAAGCTGTCTTCAGATTTGACGTAAGGTCAACGGTTCAGCCTATAGAGGTCATGCAATGTCATATCAATATTGCAAATTTTCCGGAAATGCTTTTCTACAATAACTTTTCTTCCCAAAGGGATAGAGAAATAATTCACACAACATCGTTCTTAGCTCGTCAAGGCGCATCGAATGGTATATAATATGACCTCGAAAGGTCAAGTTCAAAAGTTGACCTCAGGTCAAGGTCATGACCTGACCGAAATAGGACATGTTACATATCATTCGATCCGCATTGACGAGACAAACACGATAAACGTCGAACGGAGTCTCTATCTCTTTCCAATTAAAAGTTATTGAAGAAAAACCGTTGGTGACCTCAGGTGACCTGAGATCGAGGTCATGTTAGGTCAAACATTGACCAAACTAGGTCAAGTTGCATCTTGATCGACGCGTCTTGATAAAATAAGTGGGATGGTGAAAGAATGATGTTTCTATGTCCCATACTTCTCGAGTTATGTCCGAAATTGCATGCCGGGCCCCAAAAAGTGACCTGACCTAAGGTCACAGAAATACAAATTTCGAAAGATACAAAATGTTACTTATGGTCGCCTAATATGTTTCTGAAAGTTTCATAGCATTCAGTCAAATGGTGTGGATGTAGCACAGCGTCAAACGTTTTATGAGGTGAGGTCACTTATCGTGACCTGGTGATCTAACCTTGCATGACCTAACACTAATTTTTTCAGAGGTGATGTAAAATTGTTTCATGAACAGCTATACAAAGTTTCAAAGTCGTAGCTTCACTGGTTTTTGAGTTACAGCGAAAAAACCAGAGGGGGGGGGGGTGAAAACAACCCCCCTGCAGTGCGCGTGTTAAAGGAACTTAAAAGTAATAATATTACAGTGTATTATACTCCCACAGTCTACAATGCAGTGTAGTTATTTACATTCAGTAAAGCTCGTTTGAGAGGTGCTCTAAAGTATTTAGGAATTTGTATGCAAATTTAAATGCTCTGCACTTACCTGCAGACGAGATCAAAGGCCTTGATCTCACGCCTCGCATGCACATTTTATGGAGATGCTGTGCTCTTCAAAGAAGTTGGCAATCCAAGCGAGAGGCGAATTCTCTGTGCCGAGTGAGCGGCTGTCGTCTCTCCCACGGCCGCCCACAGCTTGGCGGGCGCGCCGCGGGTGGTGCTATCCCTCCCAGGAAGGCGCTGTGTTATTGTTATTTTTCCATCCGGTGGTGCACCGTGCGCGGTGTACAGACTCCATCGATTCGTCCCGCCTTTCCGGGTGGGCGGCAATCCGTTGGGCGGCCGGCGTAATGCACTTGTCACCCCCGGCCGGGCGCCGTCTGTGCTCAATACCGGGGCACACCGGCGCGAAATTGGGCCCACCTGTCGGCCGGCAGTGCCCGTATGACGGACCGACCTGGCGGCCCCATTTCAATATGTGTCGGACGGGCTCAGGGCGGCAGTGACGCAGAGGTCGGACCGGTTACCAGGGCCCTGCCAGTGGCGTGATGCGGGTCTGGACTGGGTCACAGGGAGGTGTTTATGTTTCCAATCGGTCGTCACAGCCATAGGTGGCTTTGGCGGCTCCGCCTCTGGCCGGTGGTTCGGACTTGGCACGGGTATGTGGCGTGTGTGTAGGACAGCGTTTCGTAATCTCACTGGATCGTATCATCTCATGGACCCATGGCGCCTCGTCTCTCCAAACAAATTGACAGTGAATTAGTGAAATGTTCATCATTTGCTTGCTGTTTTCGTTGACATAATAGTAATTTTTGTAGCCTGTAGGGATGAAGCAGTCTGCAGTTGGGATGTGGTAGGCAATTGGTCAGTTGCTTCATAAGTGTGATTTGTCTGAGAAAGTATCTATCTTTTTCTATATTAGTATTGTATTTTGCTGGGCCAGCGGCAAATAACATTGGTAACATGGTCTGGTCCCAGTGTAGCATCGTTCTGTCGACTCTGCCTCAATACCCATATGTCTGGGTCACATTACGTCTGATGTGCTCTTCGATGGTCAGTCGCTTCAAAGTTTTCCCTTCAGCAATCGCCTAGTCTGCCAATTGGTTCACTGTTTATTACCACCGCGATCCTGCAAAAGACAAAGCCAACAGTTCGGACAGAGTTGGTAGACATCGAGTGGCTAAGTTGTGTGGGGTAACAGCGGCACAGGACGGGCAACGCGGTTGTACCGAATTCCGCAATGGATCCACAGCCTGAAATACCCCAATTTGGGCCGCATTTAGCAGCGGACGTCTCGAACAGTACGCGGCTTACGACATACATTCGCCAATGTTTGGCCAATAGACTATGCTGAGGGTAAAGCGTACTGCTGTTTTGAACATTGAGAATGGTCTTGTGTGACTCTTTGATTCAGGCTGCAGTAAATTACACCTACACTGCAGCGCACTGAGTATACTAATACACGAAGTAATAGGGACTTGCTTTGTGTAGTTATAAAAGAATCAACACCCACTGAGGCCTTACACCGACTGTATCGATTAAGTATTTATTCACTTGCGTCAGTCGCGCAATGTCCATTCGCCGTGAGCTGTCTACGCCCATTCGTTTCAGATTGGAATGGGCCAAGGCCCATGACGCCGAGGCTCGGAGGATGGCCGAGGCCGGCAGGTGGTTCGCTCAGCAGAACCTGATGCCTCTCGACATCTACTGCTACCACGCCGTCGCCTTCAAGGTGGGGATGTCGCTGGTGCGGTTGAAGTTGTGGATGTCGCTGGTCTGTATGGGGTTTCACTGGTCTATATGAGGGTTTTAATGGTTTGTGTGAGGAAATTACTGGCCTGAATGAGGGTTTTACTTGTCTCTGGATGTTAACTTTTCCGTCTGTCCAGCAACTATAGGATGTTTTTATGTGTTTTAATCGTCTGTGTGAGATTGTCACTGTTGTGGAGGGTTTAATGGGGATTTACCGGTATTAAGTGATGGTTTTAAAGGGACTATCCCACCTTCTAAAATGTTGTTAAAACCAGTTAAATTGTGCCCGACTTTATAGATTGGATGACCAGGAACACGGTTCTGGCATTTATTTTTTCATTAAACATCTTAGGCTTCCCATATTCCAAACACAAACTTTCAAATATGTGACGTCACAGCCCAAAATTACCTCCTTCCCCAGGCCACATTACTGTCATAAAGCTGATTCTTTTTACTCTGTAGGCACCACAACAAAGTTCAGACCAAGTTTTAAGCGATTTTTCAACGAACAACCCCATTTAAATCAGAATGACTAAACGAGGTGACGTCACACTAACGGTCGCTCCATGTTGAAGATAGGGCCTTGTACAAGGCCCATTTTCAAATGAAGGGAACGAATTTCTTCAACACCAAGAGGCCGCGGGGGTTGCAACCTAGATAGATAGTGGTTTCTGAACCTCGCCGCAAGCTTGGCTATCTCAACTCAAACCCCATGTTAAAGGTGGGATAGTCCCTTTAATGGTCTGTGTGACGGTTTTACTGGTTTGGGTGAGGTTTTCGCTGGTCTGTATGATAATGCCACTGGTCTGTGTGAGGATATCGGTGGTCTGTGTGAAAATGCCACTGGTCTATGTCTGTGTATCATGGGTCTCTGTGAGGTTTAACTGGTCCGTGTGAGGGTTTTGATGATCGAAGTGAGGATTTCACTGGTCTGAATGAGGGGTTTTCTGGTATTTATGAGGGTGTCACTGGTCGTGGCCGGTACTCGGTAGATCCGATCCGTTGCTGTCCGTAGATCAGATGTGCAGGCAAACTGGGAGAGCGATTGCCTGATGTGGAGGCTCCCCGGTCCTTTTCCACTGTCCAGCCGCCGCTCGGATGACACGACACAGGCCGCGCGGTGAATCAGCACTATTTGCTCGTGATCTGAGGAGCCCCAAGGCCATTCTGTTTACTAAAGGCTTCTGTTTCGGCTGTTCCGGCCCGATGTTATTAATGCCAACGTTTGGATTACCGTCAGCGCGCAAAGCGGACTGGTGTCTTACGTCTGTTTCGTGATAATACCAAGAACGATGGCGTGCCTGAAATTGAAAACAAAGACGGCGGTGCTAGACCCGGGATTTCCGAACGGTTGACATATCCCACACCCCTCCCTCCCATCACACTCGGCCCCAGGCCGGACGATATCGGTCCGGTCTGGCGGGATAACTAGCATTAGCTCGGCCGCCGAAACGGGCTGAGCTTGACGCCGAGGCCATCTCAGACCGGAACAGTCGTCCTTCTCAACACGGCAGTATCACAGCCCCGGTCTGACTCTCCCCACCCCTCCACCCGCCCCGGTCTGACTCTCCCCACCCCTCCACCAGCCCCGGTCTGACTCTCCCCGCCCCTCCGCCCGCCCCGGTCTGACTCTCCCCAGTCCTCCACCAGCCCCGACCGCCTCTGCCGGTTTTATGTTACCCCTGCCTCTGCCCGTCGTAAGTACCTACTCCTCCCCACCCATCCTCCTCACCGCCCACCCCCCAGTCCGATCTCCCAGTGGGTAGTCAGCATGCCTAGTTGAAGTTCTTCGCCTCTCGTTGTTTAACGCTTGTGTTTATGAACATACACACACACACACGTGTTGAAATTACATTTCACCACGGTGATCGGAATAGGTGGCTACCTGTATTTATTGTTTACTGACATGAAGCCGGCCTCCTGTTCTGAAAATATTTCAGATAGTTTTACCGTCGCGCGAAAATGCTACTGTCGATACGGGAGGGGGCAAAACTTCGTTTCCTGGCAATGAAGTTCCAATGACCAGTTGACACTTTCCCCAAAGAAAAACAGTCATAAATTTATGGTCAAAGTAATTAGTTTGACATGTAAAATATGGTTAAATTTATGATGCCCATGCATATTTGCTAAACGGCTGCACGAAAGCGATGCCATATTATACTTCACTCTATAAACAGTACCGACTTATCAAAGTAAGTAAGCTCAGTTCCCCAAGGAACTTCTGCTGCATCGGCCTCTTGAGTAGGTACGTCGTTCTTCATTATGTTTAAACGATTTTTCTTAGAAAGTCATAAACCTGTGACAGAATGTTTTTCCGTGCTATTTTTCCGAACCAATTGCTGTCATTTTGTGGTGGCGTCGATTGGTTTCATATGAACATTTAAGTGAGCTTGATGGGCATTTTAGCTACCGGATTTGTGTGTGTGTGTGTGTGTGCATTTATGTGGGTATCGCAAAGTCCAGTGGCAATATCGGAACTTTTGGGAAGACAGAGCCTAGAAGAGGCAGCTTGTATATTATCTGTATACTTTGTATATGATCTGGATATGATCTGTACTTAATTCAAATTTAATTTACCCACCTTTCATGTTGTGTAATACTGTAAGTGTATTAGAGATACATTATAGGTACGTGTTTTATCAACTAAATTTACGAATACGCAAGATCTGCTGACTGCTAGCAGAGCCACCCACGAAAACTGTCAGCGAAAACGATGGCATGTCCTTTCGATATAAATCCAATCGCATTTGTCGCCAATGGCCAATTCTTCTGTATACAGGCATGCCGAACCAACGAATCATCGAAGCAGGATACCTTTTTCCCATACCTGCTACATTGCATGATTAAATCGAGACATCCAGGCATTTTAATGGCACGTGCACTGTACCACACTTTTCAAAGTTTAATGCAGTGCTTTAATATTGCCAGCCGTGTGCAGTTCAAGGGGTGTGGTTAAACGCGTTGAACCCACTGAACTCTAATATATACTGGAAGGACCATTGGTGGCTTGTTTTTGTCTATCGATTTCCGCCATGTTGTGTATACCAGAAATATAAATTGCATTACGGTAGCAGAGGTGCAGTTTAGTGAGAGGTACACTTCTCAAAAGTGCACTGAAAAAAACTTACTCCCCATTTTCTAATTTTAGAATGCCAAAAAGCACTCCTGCAATCGAATAACTTTATGACCTGGCATAAGCGCCTAAAATGGGGAGTTTTGGGGAATAAAACTAGCATATAGAATATATTTAGTATCCGAACGCTTATATTATTCGCGCTAGGGTGTAATTTTATGACGGAGGATAAAAGTATGCAATCTTTGGATAAAATTACACCAGATGATAATTTTATTTACTTAATACTAAAATTACTCCCATTCGGGGAATAATATTGCCATGCCAAAAAGCACTCCTTTTTTCGATAATTTTACCCCGGAGTAACTCCCCGGTAAAATCAAGCCCCGGTGTAAAAGTACCACCCCTGATAATGCGGGGTGATGTGATAATATTATGACCAAGTGAAAAATAAGGAATGCATTTAAACAATGTATTGAAACACCAACAATTGGTTAACGAGTGGTACCTGAGCATCAGCAGGTACATCTTAATTTGGACGCACTTCCAGTGATGGCGCATTGCGGCCGACAGGGACGTAATTTTGCTTCCTAGTTGAGAAGCGGCGTCTCAACTGGGAGGCAAAACTTCGTCTCTGCCGGCCGCAATGCGAAATCACTGGAAGGACGTTCAAGGTCACAACTCACAAGGGCGTTATGGTTAACACTGAGGCTAACGAATAACATCTGCGCACAGAACCACCGCCACGGATGGCAGATAAAACGAGCGTGTATGGTTAACACTGAGGCTAACGAATAACATCTGCGCACAGAACCACCGCCACGGATGGCATATAAAACGAGCGTGATCTGGGCTATGAAAGACGTACTGAGACTCATTGGCGTACTGAGACCGCCGCAGCTGAATTAGTCATAATACAGAGGCTCCAGTAGTGTGAGCCACACGTTGCGAGTCACTTGAGCCACAGGTGAGCCACAAGTCACGAGTCACTTGAAGCACAGGTGAGCCACAGGTCGCCAGTCATTCGAAGTGGGCATCTCCGATGCTGGTTCTACACTACCTGGGTAACCTCCCACACCTTCTGTGATAAGCCAGATAGGTTTACATCGAATCCCACACTCCGGTAAAGAATCTCGAACAGGGCCCTACAGGGCCCCGTGAACTTTGTGTAGAAGACAGCGTGGGCGGCCGTCATTAGGGCCACGGTCTCCAACCTGGTGGCCGGCAGTTGGCAGACCACCACACCGTCCACCGATAGTTCCTCACCTGCCTGACGAACCCCGTTTCTCGAATCCGCCAAGGTGCCAATGGTTATTCCACAACCATAGGCAAGTAGAGCTAGCAGCTCGTCGTCTGCCGTGAAAAAGAATATTGCAGTCAGTTGGCATCAATGCATATCGTACAAACAAACGTAAAGGAAACCTAGGAGAGAAACAAGGAACCGCGTTCGTACAGTAGCTGGCTATGCCATCTACAGTATCTGGAGACGATTCTTCGCTTCTTCCTGATTTCTTTTCACTCTCAAAATCGTAGTACGATGCGTAGTACGTTTGCGTAGTACGATACACTCTTACAACTAAACGTGGTGCATAATTACAAAATAATTATACGTCGTTAAAATATTTCAGTGAAATAAGAAATTAGTACCCGATGTTCCGCTGTCATGGTTAAGTATGGAGTGCAAGTAGGTATCAAACTGCATGTAACCGTGGTATATTTGGAGACAATGAAGACAACCATGAATGGAGACAACCTGAATGGAGACAACCATGACTTTTCAATATCACTAGAGTTAAACAACACTTTTTAACTAATAGCAAAACCAACGACGATTGGCTGTCCAAAGGTGAGGTACAACATGTTGTCCCGCCCGTCGTTAAAGTGCCACCTTTTTACGGTTTTCGGTT